TGCCCAGATCCCGAGGCAATGCCCCATCGGACAAACCAAGCCTGATTCAGAGGCGGTCAATACAAACACTTTAAAGCGACAGGCACCTCCTGTTTTCTTTGTATTAACACCAGCTAACCCCTGTATCTAACACTAACCCACACTCCCTTGTCCGGGTTCTCAGCGTTTCGTTTGATAGCTGGATGTGCCACATCTGGCGCCTGGCCCGAACAGGCTCCATGCATGACGAACGTGTCAATATGTGGTGCGAGAACAGGGCTGCGAGCTGAGAAGGGTTTTGGTTTTTTTTTAAACTTCCACGTACGTATATTGTGCCCTAATCAGGTATTCTAAAAGGATGCCTTAAAGGGGACGGGACCAAAGCTAGTTTTGACAAGAGACAGGCTAGAATGGGAACTGCAGAGACAGTCAAGAACAAGTCTGTTATCTTACAAACTACACTTCAGGCTGTCAGCTGCGAGAGATTTACAGGAAAATCCCCTTTCCTGGGACTGAACCTCCAGGAAAGAAACGCTGGGTTTCCGCCGAGAAAGACTCACTCAAGCATATTCACCCTAGATAGCCCCTCATACAGGCCTGAGTGGGGGCATGCGCTGCCGCGCCAGATCGCTAAGGGTACAGTGCAGGGAAAGCCACTTAGCAGCAATAACATTGCACACCGCCTTATGCATCTCTGTGAGTAGGTTCTTTGGGGGGGGGCTATTTATCTGTCCGTGTTTGACTCTATGAAAGAGGGAGAGATCTCTCTTCTCCCTCGCCCCTTCTAGCCGCCACCCCCCCCCCCCCTTACCACCATCACCAGCTGCAGTTAGCGTGAAGGTGGCGTCTGTTTTCATACTAAAGTACAGCTCTTTGGGGGCGCTGTTTTAGAGGGCTGAGCGAGTCAATTGGAGTTGAAGTAGCTCACCACTGAGCAGCTCCAGCCCCGAGTCGTGCTAATAATTGGTCGCAGCTGGCTTAGGGGTGTTAAGTGTTCACTGTGTGTTGGGGGGATAATTGGAAGGGGAAGTTTGAGAAACAAAAGTGCAATATTTTATGGCTGGTTTACAGTGGTGTCAAACTCCGTAGTAAACACATTGCTATTGAAAACCCAGTGTGAGCCTATCTGAGTCGTCAGGAGCAGCTAACCCCTGGTAGCTAACAGAATCGCCGGGCTAAGCCGGGGCTTGGCGTATTAGAATTTTTTCCCGCACATTTGATTTTTCCCATGTCTGAGATCGCTAAAAGTTCCTTACCCAAGAGGGACTGTAAACTGCTGCTGGCGGGGGTGGCTGGAGAGTCATTTCAGGTGGTCTCCACAACTCTTTCGACTAAGGGAGAGCGATGATGAAGCTGGAAATTCCTTTTAAAAACTAAGCCGAGCAGTAGGCAGAAGTCTTGTATTTTGCTAAATTAAGATCTACTGAAGTAGCACTGGCAACGCAGTAATTAACTGTATGCAGCAATGTTGTTTTAGCCCTGTAGCTCCCGGGCTATTAGAGAGACAAGGTGGGTGTCAAAGCGTCTCTTTCTCACCAACAGAAGTTGGTCCCGTAAAAGATCTTGCCTCACCCACCTTGTCTCTCTAACGCAGAAACGGACTGTCCATTTTGCTAGGGAAGTAACTCGGTGATTGATGGATACATTGCATGCAGGCAGAAAGTGAAAGGCGTTTGAGGACAAACTGAGCACTCTCAATTGTGTTTCTACAGTGGATGAAGAACCCCGATGAAAATGAACTAAGAAAAGGCTTTTCTTATTAGGACATACACACCGTTGTGTTATAGTGAATTTGACATCAGTTACATGGTTTGGGTCCTTTACACTCTTTTCCTCTAATTAAAATTGATGCTTATGTCAAAAACCAGAATAGATTGGGGAAAGTATGATGACTTTTGAGTTTCTTTCCTCTGTCTCCGTCAGAAATTTATAGATAGTGATTTCTAAACCCGGATAAGCGTTAGAGGCCTAATCCTGCGTTAATTTTGTCACTGAGGTTAGCAGATGCAGGACCATGCCCTATCGGGGATTTTAGAATAGACATAACAAAAAATAGCAGGCTGGTTTTGAAAACGCTCACGGTTCCCCGTTGTGTGTGCCCCGATGACCCCCAGTATGACATTACAGATCTGTTCCTGGACCATACGTCTGCCCAAATGTGAATAGATAAAGTCTGTCGGGTTTTTAATAGTCGCTTTGCAAGGTAAGGTCTTATCAAACATTAGTGTTCACTCACGGCAGTGACCTCGCCCCGCGCTATTCGCAATGAATGGAATAGGGTAAACAAAAAGGCAGCGATGTACGTGGCTTCGCAGCTCTTTCTAGGGCATTTGCAATCTGATCAGAGCAGCCAAGTCAAAAGGAAATTCTGCTAGTGTCTGAGGAGACAGCGGGCAGCCAAAATAATCATAAAGAAAGAATCTGAGCCAAACGGAAAACATGTTTCTGATTTAAATTTAATCTATTCTGTAATTAGATGGCATGTCATTTATGAAAACATAATTAACACAAGGGATTTTTGCTCATTAGAACATTCTCCCAGCTGGGCGTGTATTTTCTAATTGGCGTTTTTAGAAGCGTCTATTCATGTGTTTGTTCTCGTTCAGTTTCTACATGACGTGACTGCTCACAAGGAAAATGTGACATGAAGAAGATTGACTTCATTTACCTATTATAAGGTCCACCAGCCTTCAGCAAACAGGGGAATTAACTGACAGCGCTTCCTCTAGTCTTTGGTACAAAAAGCAATCACTGATCGTGAGCAGATTTTTCAATAAGATGTTCCATAATGCCTATCCCAGTTTAAAGGAACCCTAGTGTCTACACATGTGTAAACACTGAAGTTTGTTGTTGTTGCTCGTTGCATAGATAATGCAGGACAGAAGTTTGGTTTCCATTTTGTGAAGATGACTAATTATTTCCAAATTATTCTCTGCATACGATGAAAGTATCTATTTGAATAACATGTGAAAGGAATACAGTACGATCATTAAAACCCACCGAGGAAACCAGAGAATCTGCAATTCTAACATGTTTAATATAAATCATCAGTTTTGCTACCTTGTAGAAACACTGGATTGCTTTCTACGGAATAAGAGAACAATCTTGAAAACCAATGTTTAAAAATTGAGTTTATTTCCTACTGTCAAGCTATTATCGATATCCTAGTCTGTACTACAGTGATTAGTTTGAATTTCTTCCTATGAGGATGTATTACATCATATGGAGTAACTGAAAACCTCTAACAGAAGTTGTAGTGTAGTGTGCGAGATGTTGTTTTTAGTATGTGTTATAGTTATACCTGGCAGCATGGAGGCAATAATTAGCAAACGCTTTATTTAGTTGGTTGTTGATTTTTTATTCTAGAGCTACAAAAAATGTTTTCTCCAGTTTTATCCCAGGAAAGAAATTGGCTTCCCAATCCCAATTTTTGCATGTACTCATGGGGAAGAGGCGATATTAAACTGGCATCTGGCCTTTCCTAGACTGAAAATTGACCGTTCTGTTCATTTCGACCTTTAGTTCTTATGGGGGAACTGGTACCTTTTGCTACCGAAGAAATCAAAAACTGCCTATTTGATTTCTTTTAAAAAGTAGCTACGGGGAACGCACGTTCTAATATTGTTTTATTTTTTTCATCAACGTTCCACACACACTGCGAAATTCAACAGGAATTTCAATCCAAATGGGCACGTTGAAATTAATGTGGAGGTGTAATAGTCGCACGATGCAACATTTCTGGCAAGTGGAGTAATGTCAGTGTACAGTAAGAATAATACTGAGCCCTGTTACAGTTAATACTCCTTCTAATCTTCCATTTGCCAGGATTCTGTGTATTTAAGATTCACACGATAAAATACACAATAAACCTAAATAACGACCACAGTGCCAGGTGAGGAACAATCACATTTCCATTCTCATAATATTCGGGGGGAAGGGGAGTTGTCGTTTGTATTGATTAGGGTTAGCATTTTATTGTACGTATTTTGAGGGAGTTTATATCTTCTTACGCTTCCTTCGCTTTCCAACATCACAATTTTATTTTTTATTTATTTTTTCTTAGGTGAAAGAACAATCAGAAAAGGCTACTAGGCCAGGCGTCGCTATACGCCTTCTCCCATAATGACATTACTTCTGCACCAATTAGCAGAATGAAAATGTACAATATTCCTAATCTTTCCCCACTGCTTTGGTATACAGGCCAGGGTAAATCTGTCAGAATGAATCACTTCAGAGATGATGTCAATATCTTTAGGTGTGTATGTCTGTTGAGCGTGTTTGTGTATAAAGGTTTCCTATCTTTTCCGTATTATAAGTAAAGAGTTGTTAGAAAAGAGCAGAAACTATAGATCTGTATAGATGATAGATCAGAAGTGATTTTGTGTATATAAAATTTAAATGGTGATGAACTAATATCTACAAATCTTTAGAAAACATTAACTGAAGTAACTTATTTGACTCGATAAACATTAGTCTCAAAAGGATGTTATAACTATACTTGTCCAAAGAATGTTACATTTGTATTTAGAGGGAGGCTTGTTAACACAAGATGACATTTTTCGACCCATTGGGCTGACATTAGTGATAGTCAAATACTATTTATTCGATGTACTATAATCACTCGGTATGCCAGGCCAGGAACAGCAGTGTTATAGGTATATCAAGATCAAAGCTTTCTAGTTCTTTCATACAGATCACAAATGCAATCAGCTCCACCCTATATACACCCCGCTCTGCGGTTACTACATACTTTTATTCCCTTGGTATGAAGAGCGCCAACAGGTTGCCTGTGGTGAGAAATAAACCCTTGACACATTTTTCCACATCCTATCTGTACACGTCGGCTGGTTTTCACTCGCAGTCTGGTACAAGCCCAGACGTTTTTAAAGAAACCCTAAAGATGACCATTGTCTACCGTGTCACGTCCAGCCGATCTGCAAAAGCTACCTGTAATTCCTTTCAAAGAGCCCAAGCGACCCCCATGGCACCAGCGCCAGAGCGCCCCAGCCCCCTGGGCTTACCTGGAGGATGTTGGCATGCTGCAGCCTTTGCAGGAGGATCATCTCCTTGACGATTTTGTAGGAGGCTAGCCGGTAGCAATCTTCTAACGCCGCGTATTGCTTCACGCAGTTCTCGATGTCGTGCCCCCCAAAATCGACCGATTTCAGCGCCACGGCCAGCGTGCGGTTCAGAACGACCTTGTAGACAGCTTTGGTGTAGCCGGAGCCCAAGTAATGCAGGCTGGTGACATTGTGGATGTCTCGGCACCCCAGCAGAGGGGGGTTCAGAGCCAGGTCTACTTTGGCTTCGGGATAGGAGCCCCCGCGGCTTTCAGCCTGCGGCGCTTTCCCCTTCTCCAGCCGAAGAGTCTGCTCCGAGGAGGTCCGCTGCTGGGCAAGGTCCATCAGCCGCCGCTCCAGCGGTCTCACCAGCCGCCTGGCAGCAGCCGCGGGCGCCTGGTGCTTCTGGTAGCGGACCACCTCCTCGTAGCGCTCCCTGATCTGCCGGGCTAACTCCAAGCGCTGGCTCTCGCGGTCCTCCCCTGGCCAGTACAAAGGCGAGCCCGCAAACGCCGGGGTGACCCCGCGCCGCGGCTGCTGCTGGTGAGGATCAAAGCCCGGGATGAACAACACGTTCAGCAAAGTGCCCAGGAAGAAGGAGAGGCAGCAGCCGGCGGCCACCGCGATCTTTCTGCGCCTCATCGCAGCGCCCCAGCCTCTCCCCTCTCCCCCAGGGCTCAGGTTTGGGCGGAAAAGGCTCCCCGGGACCGCAGCCTCTTCACGTGGCCCCGCCGGCCCTCGCCCGGCTCAGGCACATCAGCCTGACACTTGCCTCCCTGCTCATGAGCTCCTGGAGCGCGGATTATTAGCCGGACCCGGAGGCGAGGTGGGGGGGGGATAATAACCCTGAGCGCTCCCCGCTCGCTGACGTCCCCTGATTGACAGTCCAGCCCGGCCCGTGGACCGGCGGAGCAGCAGGGGGCCCTGGGAAACGTAGTCTCTCGAATGACGCTCCCCACCGCCGTTTGATAGCCGGGAAGTCAGGACTACAACTCCCAGGCTCAGCCGCTGCTCCCGTGCACGGCCAGGCAATAGGCGGGACCGAAATGATAACGGTGTGCTCTGCAGAGTGGGGAGTAGGCTGGGCTGGCCAACAGCGCTATACCCAAGATCACACACCCGGGGGCCGGGGTAGGGGTAGCATTAGTGAAGTCACTTTTCTGGCAGGAGCCTCTGAGCTAGAGGAGGCAGGTTTAGCGGAACCAGAACTGCCAGCGGCTACTTGCGGCTGTGGGAGGGAGGCGCCTTCATTTTGGGATTCATTAGTAAAATCTCCCCCTCTAGTGATGAAGGCTTATCTCACCCCCCCCACCCACCCTGGTGTGTGTTTATGTTTGAGCGAGACGTTTAAAATCTCACCCATACTTATTTGTTCAAGATCACTCGTTCCCATTCTCCCAGTTTGACAGCGCTGGCTGAACTGGCATCAGACCAGTCACATGTTGAGAAGCCAGTGCTTGAGAGCGCAGAAAGCAGCTCGCACAGGAATACAGAAGTGAGGATAAGCACACAAAGGGAAGATTTTGCCGATGAATTTTCCACATATTTTCTTGCAGTTGGTTACCTTACAAATAAAACAATCTGATTAAGATAAATAACATCTAATTCATTATGTCTGCGTGAGGTGGTGTATATATTTTCTCTCTCAACGCAATAAGATGGTACAACATTACCCAGGAAGTAGTAATGGCCTTGTGTCCTCTGGCAGGATCAAACTCTGACTAATCATAAGTTTACTGATAATATAAGAACAGCGGAATGTGATTTCGAGATGAAAACTGAAAGCAACGGAGGAGATAGGTTAGCTGTGTCACTCTAGACTAGATCTACAAATCATGGTCTCAACATGGGGTAGCCCCTGCCCTGCTGGAGATGTGAATTGCAGGGGTGAGTGCTAATGACATGGTTATCCATCAAGCCCACATTACGATGCTGTTAGCAACTAATTAACAAATACAATCGGCCCAAGAAACGTCACAAAGAAAAGCACGTCAACAAAAGAAAAGCCATAAAGAGTCTGGGGGGGACTGCGAGCTAAAGTTCACCGGGATGCAAAAAGAAGAAGCATTTCCAATAAAGGAAGGGGATCATTTAAAGCACGAGTCATTTAGATAATACACATCGGCTACAAAAATTCCGTTTACCCTCACAGGCGCGTGTGCCTGATGCTTGAAAGCATTTATTTTCGGTGATAGTAGAAAGTAAAGCAATATACTTTGTATGGCTTGTAATTAGTCAAAATCCAAAACTGTTGTTTGTCCATTTTTGTTGCATGTGTTACACGTGATACCGAGTCTATGATTGCATGCTGACTCATAAGGAATAGTGTTTTCAAGAGACATGATATATTAATAAGAGGCCTATATAGTCAAGATAATCGGGAGAGTTTAAAAGATTCAGTTTACGTTTACAATGTAATCTTTTCAATCACTGGTTTAACTAAGAACCGTCAGTCACTTGTAATAAAACTGTCCTGAGGGTGAATTACAAGTTTATGAGAAGCAGCCAGCAGATCAAATGGCTTTTAATGAGGCCTAATTTTGACATATTTTAATAGTAGCTGTACAGTCAGGCTTGAAACATAATACCAAGAGCAAATGGAAGAGCTAATGTCAAACATGGTGAGAGCCTCAGAATGAGGACAATAAATTACCAGTAAAGAGACCTTGTCTGAAATAGGTGTGGTTCTAACAAGCCATTAAATAGCCTGCAGCACATTTCCTGAACGCCTCGCGGTGTTCTCATGCCAGCCTGTCCCGTTAGCTTTGTGGCCATTGCAGCCTTTTTATGTGAGCAGAACTGAGCTGTGTAAGGAGACTGGGAGGAGATCGCATGCAAAAGCCAGATAAATACTGTATCAGTTAAGCGCCACCTACTGTTCCTTGCAACTGAATGCTCAACCAGCAACACACCCTCAGTCAGCGGCAAGCTTATTTCTGGACACAGCAACGGGGTGAAGCTTTGTGTAGTTGGATGGCAAGTAACAAGACATAAAACATCCCAACGGTGCGTGATGCATCTCATTTTTTTATTCTTTCCATTCTTATCTGATTGTCATCCCGGACAAAATTCTCTCCTCAGTGATACCACAGCCTGCTCCCAGGCTTGTAAGTGAGGGTAGAATTTGGCCCGTGATAATATCTCGCAAGTGCAACATAACTCTGATAATAACGACTGGCCGTATTTTCAAAGGTGCTGAACGCCTGCCGCTCCCGTTGATTTCAATGGGATGTGCGGGCGACCAGCACCTTTGAATCCATTCCTTTTTATTACATTATATTACATTACTAGGCATCTGAAACTCGCATACAACTAAATATATTGTACCTGGGTTAATGCAGGGCCTTCCCACTCTGATCTGTCAGCCACACCTGTCTCCGATGCTATACAATACTCGATCTGGGGCTAATTTATTGCAATGAATAATATAAATGAGAATCGTGCGCGTACCTGGACCCATCTACATTCCGGATCAGATAACCACTAAGCAATCACCAATCAAAGATCTCCGACCACAATGTCAAGTCTCTGACCCACTCTACGGCAGAAATAAAAGACTCTCCCAGAGCTATATGGGGAAATAATTCCCATTCGTCCAGAAATATTTTAAATATCACTTTTACGCGGTGTTATGATATGTTTGATTTTAAACCAATGTTTCCCATTTGTTCCAAAGATGTAAGTACATGAGTAAAGTTGGAGCGTTTATGAAACTGGAGAAACGAAGAGCAGAAGGAAACCCTGTATATACTAATTCTACCAACTCAGTTTTATTTGGGTTTATAATTTGCCCAGTAACATTCAAGGGCCTAGACAGACTCTGTCCGGTGAAAATAGTGAGGTTTAGGAGGGCAGGGCTAAATTCTTACTTTGTTTTCCCGGGATTTCAACGTTACAGATTCATCTCTCTTAGAGGACAAAACACTGAACTACCAAGGCAAACCTATTGGAGCAGATCTTCCTCCCACTGAAGTGCATAGCTATTTCGACTTCAGTATAGAAAGGATCCAGCCCCATTGCTTGCTACAACTGAGGCGGTACCTTCCCCTAGGATGGAAATGCTCTCAGACTCGGGGAACCGATTTTCAGCTGATCTTTTAAAATCCTTACTTCTCTAGCTCTGGGTTGCATTTTTATTTTAGCTCCTGTCAAGAATCACTGCTACAGTCTTAATTCACCCCCAAATGCTTGGGAATGGATTTAAGTGCTGTGATCTGAGGGAGAGAAACACCGACACTGCCTGTTCAGTCCAATGCCTTTCCCAGGCAGTTCGCTTTGATTACAGCACATCGGGCAATCTCTTCAAAGTGCACTATGGAATCAGTGGGCCAGGTTACCTCACGGTTCTCCGCCTCCTCACTCCCCCAGCAGCCCCGAGGGTTGTCTTATCAGCCCAGTCTTCTCCAGGGTTCTAATTTAGAGCTTTCCCCGGATCGCTCGCGTTCCTTGCAGACACCTAACAGCTATTTACCATCCTCACGTTTGAATCGCACAAACCATTTAGCGCGGGATTATCGAACTTCACAGACAAGCAACGGAAAGCCCCTGAGAGCTCACAATCCAGCCCCCTCCCTCTGGAAGATTTCTATCAGATAATAGGCCAAACACTGCCTCATTGAAAGGGAGGGAAGGGAAGCTTGTTTAGCCAGGTACTTTGCATTACAATTTTACCTGTGGGTGGTTTGGGGGGAGCAATGTAAATCTGCCTGTATGGGAGAAGGGTTGGTCTTGCTTGGTCTTCTGCAAGGGCCTCCTGCTGCTGGGAGCAAAAATGAACTTTTAACTGCTTTTCATTATTAAGGCTGATTTAAACCATTTCACAGGATAGCAGCCAGAATGAGGGGGATTGGGAGTATCCAGATTCTCTTCCTTCTTGCCCCCCTAAACACGCACACATTTAGACTTTGTCTCAGCACCCCACCGCTGAGTTATTTTCTCACCCCGCAGAGCTTTTGCTTTCCTGGATGTGAATTACTAGTTTGTTTCAGACCTTGTGATCAGTCCTTTAAGTTTACATCACCGCTCATATTCTGCCTCAAAGGCTTAGTTATGCTGGGAGAACTTGTTTAAAGCAGGGAACATTCATACCTTTGAATAGTAAGCATAGTGAAACACTAATAACAGCGCCCCTGCAAAATGAGTTTATTGCCTTGCTTTCCTGGGTGTATTGTTGCAGACAACTTTGCAAGCACATAATTTGTTTGGGTCTGACGCTGGGTTGTTGGTGCATGCATGCTAAGTGTAATATCTGACATTAGCTTGTGCCTTGTTTATGAAGTTTACAGGAAAAAATACAACTGCAAACAGATGCTTTCAAACACATTCAAGTGGGCCAGCTGTTTTTTAAATCAGGCCTCTCTCAAAGCCGGTTTTCTTCATTATATCATTCCCGACAGACACCATGAAATACATCACTCATTTAGATATGGAAGCAGACTCTGGAAGAGGACTTGTGTGGAACACTTTGATGTTCAGAGACAGATTTCAAAAGGCAGAAAACTTATTCGATGTTTCTAATTACAACCCATTCTGGGCCTGTCACTGATTATTGCATAGTACCTATGCTACATAAACTGGGAGTGTTGTTAAAAACACAATCTAGGAATCAAGAGTATGCTGAGACCAGCTGTCTGTAGTCTACCTAATTAAACTATGCAGGGAGAAAAATCAACAAGGATTTATAAACAAAGCTACTGACTAAAGTCAACAATGAGCTGCAGGGGACAGCAAACATACTTCTTAACACTTCAGGGCTCAGTGGAAGCCAAGGGGGAAGGGTTTGATTTAGGTGAAACAGAAATTCATAAATCTGCATTAAAACTAGGCAGACAAAACATTTTTTATGTTCTGAGACAGATTTTTTTTTTCCCCACCAAGAAAATTCTGAATAGATTTTATCTGTTCTCTATAACCAAAACTTTTGCAATAGTGAATGCAGA